TATTATAAAATATTTTTAAAGTTTTTATTCCAATTAAAAAGACATCCTAAGTGAAACATAGAACGAAATCAAAATGCCTTATAATAAGGATCGGAGGGAGTATTTGAAATTTCACTAACACTTTTTAACTCTAATTAATAAAACATGAACTTTGTTTGTTTTTTTTAAGAACGGAGATATTGTATATCTTACTTTCAGCCAAACACGTTGCGGCGAAGGCTATGTTCAAAAAAGATAGCAATTTCCCACTTTTCGGTTTCAACTTAATCGATTTGGGAATGTTTGCTTTTCATACATCAATGAGTTCCCGATGGTTTGTCTGTCTTTATTCAGGAATTCAAGATATTCTACATAGTGCGTCGTTGTAAACTCTTTTTTAAGGTGACAAAAATGGACATAAACCTATTTAAATTACATAATTATATTTATGAGGTATATATGCGACCTTAATAATATCGATCTTACGAATTCATGATAGGACTGGCTCTATGAATGGGGAACCTTTAAATTTCATGACGGATTCTTTAACCCATTATTTCGGCTATATATGGCTTGCTCGATTACAGGTATTAATTGAAGATCATTATAATTAAGCTGGTAGATAATGTCTGGTCAATCATAATACATCAAACACTTTCCCCCCATGCATTTCATTTTCTCAATTGATTGTAGGGAAAAAAAAATCGCAAAAAGAACCTTTAATTTGGCTAATTTAAATCTATACATGTCCTTTACCAATTTTTTTTTTTTAAAAAAAAAATCTAAGAATGATCCCGATTCTCACCACGTAACTCCAATCTATCTCATTAGTTGATTGCTACCACTAATTAATATTGATAGCTTAGTGCAAAAGAGAGGTATATTGATACAATTTAGGCCAGAATTAATGCCAAATGATATTTTGATCATGAATTGTGAAAGTTAATCTGAATATAAACAATTTGGATATCACATTTTGTAGGAGAGACCTTAAATTAAAACAAGAAAAAATGATTGAATTTCAAACCATCTAGATATTCTTTTCATCTAAGTAGAAAGGCCGCAGAAACTGAAGTTCTCAGAACTGCGTAGTAAGTCAGTTGTCTATATGGCATAATGTAGTGCGTTAAGGTTAGCACAATGTGGTACGTAATTTGTAACCACTCTTGCCTATTTTGAACGTTCCAAAAATTGATCACGTTGTTTTATTTATTTAGAATAACAAGCAGGATAATTATTATGGAGATAGATGAACTATTCATTATAAAACATTGGAATACTTATCTTATTCCATCATGTATGGAACTACTAAGGCAATAAGTGGAATTCTCTTGTGCTAATTATTGAGAAATTAGGATGGAAAAGTTATGGATGGCTCCCAAAGTTTGACAAAATTACGGTTGCCTCCCAAAGTCGGATGATGAGATTAATAATGAGAATTGTCTTCTTTTTTTTTTAATCTAAAGATGAAATTCTTGCAATTTGTTGGGTTATATACACCATTATGTTCAACCATTTTCACAATAATAGTTTTCGTTACTGCAAGATTAACTGCATTTTACATGGTTCGTACCTATAAATCCATAACTGCATTGAAAAATTCATGTTCATCCCAAATTAAGCTCATAAATTGGGAAATAAAAAAAGAATTGGAATTATATTTGAGCCCAAAGGTTTGTGATTTTGTGTCCATCCGAGGAAAAGACTGTATATCGTTGAAAAATTACATCAATTTTGTTAAATCTTGAAGATTAATCGTATAAGTAAGTTTTGTCCTTATGGCGGTTTTGGAAAGAAGTGATCTTGAAGATTGTTCCTGAAAGGTGAATCTTGTATTTCTATAAATTTCGGGGGATGCCGTCGTAATTTACCCTTAGTTTCAATCTCTAACGAAAACTATAAAAGTGTTGTACATATTTTTATTATCTATTTAGGAACACATAAAAATAGTTTGATCATCTTCTAGATTTTGTTTGACGCAGAATTACAAGTCCAAGCAACAATAACCAGATGAGCATCACTCGAGTTGATGTCTCTGGATTGAACCATCACCTTCCTGATAACATATAATCACATAATTCATACATATGGACACATTTTGTCAAGCTGAACCAAATAATTAATTTGGAATATTTATTAAATGGATCGTGCGTTATCATTGAAATTCAAGACCAAATGTCTGTCTCTATTTAACCTATCTTTTAGTCGGTGAACGTGATCAGTGATGCTAATTTATAACTAGAATATTGTTTTTCTTTTCCAATGAGATAAAGACTTGAGGCTCACGGTCATGGAGTCTAATGGCTTTAATTGCCACACAAGACAACGGTTTTATTAGTATTTATTATTTGTCTTGGAGCATAATTCTTTTCATAACGTTGGTCATCTGCATTCTAGAAACCCAAGGCCATAAAGAATCTTCACGTAATTAATATATATATATATATATATATATATATATATATATATATATATATATATATATACACACACACACTGACAAAAGATCAAATTGATCTCTTACAAAACATTTAACAAGTAGTACATATACATTGGGTCAGATGGAGAATCGATTCCTTTACCAAGTTACCATTTAAAAATCTTTAGAGCCTTTGGCAAATTGTCCTTTTGGAGCCTTTACCAAGTTACCATTTAATAAATGAAAGTATTTTAATGGAGAATCGCTAAAATTAATCATTCGAATGAATCCCTTTAGAAACTTCCATGGCGTTTCACTTATCATATGATTTTTAAGTGATGAATAAACTTGTACATTGACTTTCTACTAACATTTTCCTTGATATTTATAATTATATTCATCTCTTTATAATTTGAAATTCTCGAAAGGCAGCTGAGAATTATGGCCTATGAGACACGACAACGCCAGCAAGTTTTATTTTCAAAGTTTCAAAGTTGACAAACATGCTCTGCTCTCTCATTGTTTCGTAAATATTCTCTTCGTTCCAAAATTATTATCAATTTAGATTTTTACTTTTAATATAATTTGTACTAAATTTAAAAATTCAAACTAGATAATTATTTTGGGACGGATAGAGTATAATTTTCAATAATTAATAACTTTTTTCACGCCCAAAGAGACGAGTATATTTTTACTTCTAATTATCAAAATTAGCTGAATACTGAATAAACAAACCGATATCATCATGATTTAATTAAGGATTGTTTTAGGCAGTGGCGAAGCTAGCCAAACAATCTGCTGAGTTACTGTGCTTATCAATTTCATTATTCCTTCTGTCTCAGAAAAAAAAAGTCCAAATCGAGTTTTGAGTTTTATACTACAACCAGTCCAAATTTTAAAATTTTGGTTTGTTTGGGACAGATGGAAATATTGTGTTCTATTCTAAATTTTCCTTAATTGAATCATGGAAATCATCTTGGTCTAACTGTCAAAGATTTTGTGATTGAAATATTAAGCAAATCAGCTACTTATTTTACTGGAAAAGTGGGTAACACCCTGTTTAAGAAGATTCTGAAGCTAACCCCTAATTTGTTCTAGAAATCAAAAAGTGCCATAACATTTGGGGGAAAAAAAATGTGCAAACACGATTAGCTGTATGCAATGTTAAGCATGCACGATGCAGCCAAAATCATTAACACCCTCCAAATGGTGAATACATATGTGTATGATCTCGTTCAAATTATTTTTCCGATTAATCTGGATTCGGATAAACAGCCAAAACCATATAGAACTTTTTTTATGTAAGAGAAGCAAACATTCCCAATTCGATTAAATACTAATGGTTGGCCACTCCTCGTCAGAAAGTTATTCTCTACTTAGTGCGTCAAGTAAACTTTAATACGTATATAATCACCCCACGATGGATTCTCTAACCCGTTATTTCGGCTAGTTTTCTTCGTCACAGCTATTATGAAGATCATTAATTAATACCCTAGATTAAGTCAGGTCAATTATTAAACACTTTTCCTCCACTAATTTTATTCTCTCAATTGGGGCCAAAAGGATCGTTAATTGGTTTATCTAGCTAACTCAAATCTATGAATAATTTTGATTCATGTCACGTAACTCCAATCTATTCCATTATGTATATTCAGCATTTGATGTAATATAAGCCAGAATGCGATATGAACAATGAATTTTGATGTAGATGTACTAAACTTGGAAAACCTCTCATTCATATTCTTCTCAAAGCAATGTACGTAGAAGTCTATCGAACATGACTAGTAAGAAGACGACATATTCATGTCTGATGTCTCTCGTGAATATGTATGCACAATTTACTTTCTTCAAATCTCTATACTTTAATTTTAAAAATGCTTATTTTCATATATAATTGTCATCGTGATTTGTTTGGACAATATACTTTCTTTGTATCGTTATATTTTTATTTTGAGACTGATAAAATATATAAGATTTAATTCTTTTAGACTGTATTTTGAATATGCAAGTAATCAAATAGAGAAGAACTTAGCTAGCTTAACTAATCCCATGTTAAATAGTGAGTATTTCTGTAATCCTCATCTGAAATTAACTAATCCTTCGCTTTCTAGCCAACCAACCCTCACGGATTTTGTTGTCAAAGAAAGAGATAGCAATAAATATTTTTGCCAAGAATGCTACGTCATTGCCATCTTAGCTTCAAGTTTATGCCATTATTATTTTATTCCCAAAAATTTGACCAACTCCCAACCCCAGCCAAAAGTCGTCTAAATACGCAAGTTGAGATCCGAAAACAAAACTAAACAAAAACAAATTAAGGAAAAATATAAACAGAAATTATGAAATGATCATAAGTTGAACACAGACATATATTACATCCAAACTAATTTTCTCATATAAAACAACAAAAAATAAATTAAAAAAATAGAGAGTAATAAAAGGTATTTCAGGTTTGAATTTTTAGTTCCCACGGTAATAGTCTAAGCTCTAAACCTCAAAATTTAATCCAATTCAATTAAATAATTAATAGACGAAGTCAACAGCATTCGACATGGAATACTATTCAGTACGTTTAAATTATTTTTAATGTTTGAACTTTAATAGTACTACTAGTTGCTATGAAATCTGTGTAGAAGCTTCTTCTACTGAATCACAAAAAAAAAAAAAATTGTACACCTTAATTAATTAATTAAGAAAGTACTATTTCTGAGTATCTGATCAGTTTCATAATTTTTGTCAATTTGACTTTTTGACTATTCCCGCTTGGATCCATTCTCTGGTCTTCTCGAAAACGGGTCCTCCAAGCTTCCTATTTCATTCCCCCATAAATACCATCTACTCTTCTCTTCAGTCCCTCTTGATTAATTCATACCCAAAAATCTTCATCATCTAAATCAGATATACCCAAAAAATCCAATCTTTCGAATTTTTTGTTTTTTTCCCCCCCTGTTTCTGTTGAGTTTGATTGATCTTTAAGAGCCCAAAAAAAAATAATGTTGAGCCCTTTTGTTTGCGGGAATTTCAGCAATCAAGAAGAAAATGATCTTGAGGAGCTTCTCAGCCCTTGTTCCACCCCGAAGAAATCAAGAAAATCGAACAAAGATAGTAAGAACCCTTATGCAGATCGAGGTTTAGACACATTTTCAGCACTGTTAGACGAACTTGATCGCAAGAAGCAGAAGATTTATACCCAGAAAGGGTCGGAGGATATATCTCTAGTTCGATTCGTTTACTCTGGTTCCAACAATTGGAGACCAATTGTTGTCAAATCCAAGGATAGAAAGCCAGAAATCGGAACAACAACAACCAATGTTGTGAAACAGAGTAATAATGTACAGAATTCAGAAGCCACGGCGCAAGAATCTGTAAATTCGGAATCAGAAAAAGAAGAATTGCAAAGCCAATTTGCAGAAAAGAGAAGCGTCAGTTTCTGGGGAGTAATTGATGGGTTGATGAGAAATCTGAGAAATCCATATTATCAATTGACGTTCGTGATGATTTTGGTGTTGTTATTAGTAATATTGTATGGAAGATCATTTGCGATACTCTGTACTTCTCTGGGATGGTATTTAGTACCCATGATTAAGGAAAGGAGTTCAACTTCAACCTCGGATAAACCCAAGAACAAGAAAGACATTACGAGGAGATTGAGCGAGAAGAACATGGTGAATCCGACCAGTGTTGTTGTTAATGTTGTTGCTTCCTCCGACAAATCGAAGAACAAGAAGGATTATACTCGGAGATTGAGCGAAAAGAATATGGGGACGAATCGATCTTCTTCTCCGAAAAGTCCCCGGCAGTCGTCTTCCCCGAAGAGTGTGTTAACGGCACATTCGCACAAGAAAAGCTGGTGAACTTGTTTGGACGGAGTAATTCCGATGATCGAACTGTGTATTCTTCTTTCTCTCCTCTGCTGAATACTCCTATTTCATTTTTGGTAGACTAGGTAGTAGGTAGTTTTTGGTGGAAATTTTTTATTTTTCCTTTTTTTTTGAATCTTTCTAATCTTAAAAGCGTGTTTTGATTGGATCGCGAGAAACCAATCTCTGAAAACCGTGTTTTGATTGGATTGGAAATTACACCAATCTACTCCTGGTTTGACATGTTCAACAGTGTAAATTATTACAGTAGTCCCTCCGTTCCAAAAATAAGTGTCGATTTAGCAAAATAGAGAAATTTTAAAATAAGTGTCGTTCTTACATTTCAATGCACTTTTTGTCCAAAGTTTCTAAAATCACCCTCAAAAGAATTAATACTATTAGTAAATTTTTTTTTTAATTGGGTTGGTTGAGGATATCCAAGTAATTTTATTACTTTATTTAAGAGTTTCTTAAATTATGTGGAAAGTGGAGGGAGTATGTTATTATAAGTTTGGGTTAGACTTAGCAATTTAGTACAGACAACCTTTTCATGTTTGTCTTTGTAGTAGTAGCTCTGCTACGCATTTGTTTTGTATGATCAATTCGATCGATTTATTGTATTTTGTCCCTTCCATACATATATGATTGTTATCCTGGGCACATTGTAATATGTTACACGTTGTTCTGTTATTAATGGTCGTTCTTAAAGAGAATATAATTTCTAGGTATAAAAACTTTCACGCCATCACCGTCATTTCTGTAAATTCATTTTTAGATATATAAATTTACAATTTTTATAGGAAAATATAGTCAATATTATAACGGTGCATAAAACAAATGTCATTAGACAAAGTACATAAGTTTAAAGAACTCTTATTTATGATATGTTAATCACTATACTATCTTTAACCTATCCACATTCCCATTATCCATAAAACAAGCAAACGTCATTAATTCTGTTATTTTTGGGGGGTTAATTTTGAAATTTTTTTTTACAATATCCATAAAAAAATGAAACTTAATTTAGAATTTTATTATTTCCCTCTAATGACACTAAAACCAGATTAGTGCGTTCTAGCATAGCTGTATCGTCAGGATTTGGCATTTAGATGAGACTTTACAAGCATTGTAATACGTCTTTTGGGTTTATTAATTTAATGTCAATTTCCAAAAAACATATTTCGAACGTTTGTAGAGAAGAATGTTTCGAAATCAAAACACAGTTACCACTAATGATACAGTGCCATAAGAGGTTGGTTGTGTTTGGGGAGAGCTGCAACAAACATTTAGTGATGCATTTTCCCTTCCTAAATTACCTGACCATTGCTTAAGGAAACACGTTTGGTAAGTGTCCTAAAAATTTCTCTTAGCAATTACATAAACAGCAGGAAAAAGGATAGACAATGGCTTGCCAAACTTGGCTACTTCCAAAACCATAGCCATCGCCTAGAAATTCAAGAAATTTAACGAAGAAATCATCCAATGTTTACCCAAGCCCAAAAAAACATCAAGCCAAAAACTACAAACGTTTTGCTGAAATACGAATGAAACAGTTCACGATGTCAAAATACTGATGCAAAGCTTGGCTTGGCTTCAATAAACTATCCATCTGGAACCCCAATGTTTTTCTCTTTGTTTCCTTAATCTTCCCTAAAGAAGAATCCATGATTCTAAAGAGCAGGAGTTGATAGCTTTTGGTTGTACTTCCTCCGTCCCAAACAAAATTATTATCCAGTTTGAGATTTCACTTTTAGTATCATTTGAACTAAAAATAAAAATCCAAACTGGACAATAATTATGGGACGGAAGGCGTAACATATATCTCCTCCTTGTACACTATAACCGGAGAAACATCTGCATTGCTGCAATGAACCGGCTTGGCCATTTGTGGGGAGATCAAGATAAGAGTTTGTGCTCTTATGTCAACCAGTAGAGACAATGGCATTCCAACTTTGGAGTAAAGGTAAAGCATTTCCAATTTACTGCAAGTGACTCAGTGAACTTCCACAAACTAATCCATTACTCTAAAACAAAAACAACTTCACTTGAATTCCAATATAGCTCCATCAATTAACGTGCTAATATTGCAAGAATAATAACAAAAGCTCTTCCCATTTTCCCAGTAGAATCATTGGTAGTCCGGATCTTGTTGGTTCTGAAGACAACAAAGTATAAAGCAGAGAACTAAAAATTCAGAATCCTAACATAAGTCTGAAGCTGGAAAGAGCTAAGGTTCACTGACGCATTTATTCAAACACTTAGCATACCTTTACATAGGCTTGCACGCCTCTGCAGAATCAAATGGCACGAAGCCATTTCTAATCAAACAGAATTCAAACAAAAAGCCCTTAATATTGCAACTTATGAAAATCAAAGGGCAATACGCCATTTCTAATCAAACCAAATTCAAACAGAAAAGCAGAGGAAAATGACACCTCCAAAAAAAAAAAGAAAAAAGAAAAGAGCAACAGATATAATAAATCAGTGTCAACAAAACTGTCAGTTGAACTTGTCTGCTGATTCCGGAAAATGGAAATGATCTTAACGCTTCAAAGCAAACTCTTGAGTTTTTCCTTATCCAATCGGGTCTTGCAAGACAATTGGATTTCATACTGAGCTCCCAAAATACGCTGGCGTTTCAACCAAAACAACTTCTTACGCAGTTCATGCCTTTGTGTTTTCACTACAAAAATTTGTTTCTGTATCTCCATCTGAAATTGTTCCCTCGACTTCTTATCAATATGAGGAGACCGTAACACAGTATACAAAACTCGTGATTCAGGCAATCGAACCTTCCGGGCGTGAGGCGGGGGTTCCAAATATCGTTCCACAGACGAAATGCTAGAAGTTGGAGCAGTGCACTTGATCACCAAACTCGAAAAAGATCTTTCGGTAGCATTCGATTGATTCATGAAAGATGAGGTAATACTTCGGGCACATTGTGCACTGATTTTACCTGGGATTTTAGCCAACAGCGTCATTCTGACCGAATCCGGATCTGGGGCAGCAGATGACGATGAAGGCGGCGGCTGCGGCGGTCGGCGGCTGGTGGCGAATGTGGTGCTGGAACTTGGAAACGGGATGTAATTGGAGCGTGGTTAACCTAAGTTTTGTGTTTTAAGAAAAGGAATGAAAGATCTGTATAATTAATAATGTGGCCCAGATATAAGTTATTGGACCAGACTATGGGCCATTTTTCATAAAGTTGTTAGGTAGTTTACTTTTTGACATATGGGCCAACATAAATCGTTTAAAAATGTTTCATTCTGTTAAATTCGGAATTTTTGCTTCGTTTTTTTTTTTTTTTTAATATACAGTTCGGTATCTACTGTTGATAATAATGAAAAAAAGGAATAATCCTCGAAACTCACAGTTAATCAAGAATGAGATGGTACTCTAAATCTCAAATTCGGAATAAGTAATTATAGGTATGGAGCCAGTAAAATATGTTGGTAACTGGTGAAATTACAAAATCACCACATCTCATTTATTATAATTGGCAACTTAGTTATAGCCTAGAGACATTTGTGTATTTTCACATATATCACATTAGTTATTATTCCATTTTCCAAATATTTTCATTATTTTTATTAATTTGCATGAAGGTATGAAATGAATAGATAATGGACATTCAGTAGAATTTCATATCCTATATATATTAAAAGAGTCAAGTTTTCAAACACGTGTCGCGTAATGACTTATTCAATTAAAAATCAGAAAAATTAAGTTTAATTAGATGCAGTAAATTTTTTTTGTAACTAATTAATTTTTACTTTCAAAAAATAATAAATCCTCACTAATCACGCAATGAATAATGTCATATGTGCATGTTAAGTCTTTAAGATAAATTAACTAATGATCCCAAAAACAATAAGGTTAATTACCACATAGTTAGTGAAATTCCATCTCTTATTGTGATAATTAGAGAAACATTAATGGTATGAATTTCGTTGTATTTTGATTCTTAATGTGATAAATATGTACAGATTCGTTATGTATGGAAATTATGTAAATAGTAATTCAAAATTATGAATCTCAATAATTGGATAAACACATGCTAGATCACATGAGATGCAACTCTGTAAATTCTCTACCAAGGAAGAAGATGAGAAGTCAAGTGATTCTACTAGTCGTCATCGTAGGCTGATCCTAAATAGCCTAACACCAAGGTACAAAGCTTATTTCCAATTCAGTTTGCGGATTGAAAACAAAGTAGAAGAGGCAGCCATGGATTTGATATCACTATCAAAGGATGGTACGGATTTGGTAAGAATTTGCATAATAACAGTAGTTGCAAACAAAACTCAAGTAAAAGAAATAGCGGATTTGTGTTGCCAGAATTGAATTAAGGCATTTGACTCTTATCAAGCTCTAGATTCTTAATAACAAACCAATGAATTAGTTTTCATAAGTTTTTTTGTGCAACGACAACTAATCCACATAATCATTATTATCCTGCAAACCTTATTGAGGATCAAAACTGAACAAAGTTATTCACAAAAATCAAAATTTTAAAATTGAAGAGCCCTTTTTTTTGCCCCCAAAGATTATCCTGCCTAATCTTGTGATTCGTTTTTTTTTTTTTTTGGCGTCCTATAAATATACCAAACATTCATCATGAAAACTAATACCAAAATAATATAAGCGATACACACACACACACACACACACACACATATATATATATATATATATTTACTATGGTAGCCGAATGTAACATTCTTAACGAAATTGATAGCTCTCAGATTATCAATGAAATGAAATGTCAAAGTGCGTATTCTATATTGAGTTTATATTAATTGATGAAAATGTGTTTTGTTTATATTACTGAGGTGTGAAACTCGATCGTGGAACGCTTATATGATATGATGTAATTATGTTTTTCATACGAACATCATACTTATTTATTAGATCTTCTTTTTTTAAAAAAATATATATATTTATCGTGCATTGTATTAAATTTTAATTTTTGCTCAGGAATGTTTTTTATTCTCTTACTTTATAGCACCCAGCAACGCGTGAACAAGTAAGTACTCATATATATTAAAGAAAAGTTGATGAAAAAAACACATGTTATTCAATTAGACTATCAATATACTAATTGAAACGTGTTAATTCATCATTTGTCATTTACTAAAATTAGGGACGGACATGTTCAAAGGCTCAGATGTGCCAGAGCACCCCCTGCCTGCGAAAATTCTATCGCTGCCGGTCACGTCCGCGCCTGATTCTCCGACGAGCACTGGAGAGGAAATGTTGAATATGATGTCGAGAACATGGACTATTATGCTAATGGGCTATGGGACTTCTTTTTCTTAACATACTAAACTAGTTACTATTTAACTTCTTTTAAGATTTGGCAAAAATTTATAAGTGTTACATATTATTTACTAGATACTTGCTACCGACGAATGCCTGGGGTATTTTAAAATGATTAAATGAAAAATAAATAACAAATTATTCAAAAAAGAATAATATAATTTATAATATGTATAACATAATATAAAATCGGATCCACAGTGCGAGCCGTTATCTGGGGTTGTTCAATACTATCATATATAACAATGTTCGTCCTTTTGACAAAATAAATAAATAAATAAATAACAACGTTCTAGATTTTATTTCGAAATTACATGCCTTTATCGTTCTTTACAGTCGCATATGTCATTAGAACTCAAGTTTAGTTAGAAGTCTCTATTTGGAATGATGAAAATATCCTTGTGAAACCCAAAATGAAAATTGTCAGGCAAAACGTTTCTCCAAATTCCATTGATAGGGAGGCCAAATATGCATTTGTAGTTCAGTCTCAAAACTATCCAGAAACTCACTAACAATCGGTCATCTTCCAGGGATCCGAACTTGTGATCTGTAGGTTGGATTTGAATATTCTTTATACGATTGCGAAGCTGAAAGAATCACCTACAATTTCTTTTCAGAAGTCAGTTACAAATTTTAATTGTAAACATGCTAAAAAAAGGCTCTAAACTCGGTCACTAAGTACTGAAGATGTTGAAATTTCAGTATGCATGGAATAAATAATATCAATGAACTTACAGTTTCAAATGCAAAAGTAAATAATTAGCAGCCTTGACCATCTTTGC